ATGTTTTTGTAGGTTTCTGTTTCTTATACCTTCTCTTGGGCTCTTTTCCTTCTGTTTGTCTTGTCCAATTCCAATATGTTACTTTTTGTTTATCTTACTGTATTATTATATTATAGTCCCTTAGAGCCTGTTTGTTATCTAATGAGAGATAGAAAGAGAATAGAGCCAGATGGGAGGGGAGGGGAGGGGAGGGGAGGGGAAGAGGAACTGGGAAGAACAGAGGGATCATAATCATATTACGTGAGGGAAAAAAATCTATTTTCAATAAAAGGGGGAGAAAGAGTTATTGTTTGTATCCCTATTGAAACTCCATTGGAGACATACATTTTTCGTTTGCAGGTGATCATCAGTTGGAGATTGCTTCTAGGTTAGAGATGGGGGCTTGTGTTCACTTCTCTCACACTGATACCCCCTATGGCTATGTGTGCTGCAATAGTCTCTTTGAGTTTCTATGTTTGTTGGTCCTGCTGTGTTTCCTTGGTGTTCTTCATTCCCTCTGACTCTTACACTCTTCCTGTGTCATCGTCTTCTACATAGTTTCCTGAGATCTGAGAGAAGGGATTGGATGAAGACATCCATTTAGGACTGAGTGGTCCAAGATCTCTTACTCTGCAAATTTTAAGACTGTGTTTCTTCAGCATAGGATCAAAGTAGACCCTATGAATGTGGGTGACAGTTGTATGGCTGGGGCAGACTGCAGGTCTACTGGCAGCAGCACCAGGATTTATCCCTACTGCTTATACTGACTTTTGGGGAACGTATTCTCTTTGAATTGGATATCTTGCTCAGCCTGGATATAGTGGGGAGGGCCTTGAACCTTTCCCAAAGCAATGTGCCTTACCCTCTCTGAGGAGTGGATTTGGGGAGGGGGGCATTGGTGGAGAGAGTGGGAACTGGTATTGGTATGTGAAATGAAAAAGGTAATTTGTTTTCTTTTTGTAAAAAAAAATGAATTAAATTATAAAATAAAGACTGTGGTTCTCTATCTTTGTGCTTCTCTGATGATGGCAATGATCCATGAGTGTGGCAGAATGTCATTAGGGGTCATTTTATTGCTGTGTTCCTTTAGCAGAACAGTAGTATTTGTTTTTCCCTAGGTTCCTGGCCTATCTGTCTTGGGTTCTTAGTCACCCAAGCAGTGTCAGATATGGGTTCGTTCTTACCATTGGGTCTTTGATGGGACGTCTGTAGGTTTGACAAGCCATCTTCTCTTAATCTAACAAGTCTCAGGACTGGAACTAGATGCCATGTTTGCTAGGAATCTTTGTCCTTTCCAGGCAAAGTAAAAATTTCTTTCTCCCTTGGTTCCTGGAAACTGTGTTGCCTCTCCTCCAGCATTTGGCATGTTGCTCTGCTAGCAGTTTGCACTGTGTTTTCCAATCATGCAGCCCCTGAGGGGAAAACCCTCTCTTATGGCCTTTGACAGCTAGCTGGCCCCAGCCTAGATCTGGCACAAGAAGACCATGCTGGCTGAATGGGTAGACAGATGAAACCAAAGGATAACCTGCTCAAAGACACTGTTGAACTTCCTTAAACCTTGTTCTCTCCAACATTGGTCAAATCAGAACTTTCCAGTTTGTTTCTGTAGTGTTTTTTAAGGACTATTTAGGACTCCTAAACATTATATTATCATATAACAGGCTTTCATTTGGGCCACCAACCAGCTTCCGAGTCATGACAAAGGGACTTATTATTGGTTAGGAATTCTCAGCCTTATCTTATGCTTGTCCCACTAGTTCTTATAACTTAATTTAACCTGTTTCTCTTGATCTACATTTTGCCTCGGCATTTTACCTTTCTTTCATTCTGTATGTCCTACTTTGTCTGACTGGCTGGTGGCTGCCTACCTGGCTGGCCAGCTGGCCCCGGGCATCTCCTCTCTTCCTCTCTTATTCTCTCTCTCTCTTTTTCTGTCTCTCTCTCTGTGTCTCTGTCTTCTCTCTCTCTCTCTCTCTCTCTCTCTCTCTCTCTCTCTCTCTCTCTCGCACACACACACACACACACACACACACACACACACACACACACATTCTGTCTTTCCTAGATTCTTCCTCCTACTTATTCTCTCTGCCTGTTAGCCCCAACTTTCCCACTACTGCCTAGCTATTGGTTGTTCAACTTTTTTTCCTTTTTTTAACTTATTTTTTTAAAAAGCTATCTTTTCTCATTTACATGCCAATCCATTTCCCACTCCCTCCCCTCCTCCTGCTCCCTCCACCTTCCCCCCTCTAACCTCCAACTCACCCCCCAGCCACTCCTCAGAGAGGGTAATGCTTCCCATGGGAAGTCAACAAAGTCTAGCACATTACTTTGAGGCAGGAAAAAGGCCCTCCCCCCTATATCTAGGCGAAGCAAGGTACCCTTCCAGAGAATGGGTTCTAAAACGTTAGAACAAGCAGTAGGGATAAAGCCTGGTATCACTGCCAGTGGCCTCACAGTCTGCCCCAGTCATACAACCACCACCCACATTCAGAGGGCCTAGTTTGGTCCTATGGTGGTTCCCTCGCTGTCAGGCCAAAGTTGGAAAGCTTCCATTAGCTCAGGTCAGCTGTTTCAGTGGGTAACCCCATCATGTTCTTGACCTCTTTGCTCATATTCTCACTCCTCTCTCTCTTCAACTGGGCTTTGGGAGTTCAGCCCAGCGCTCCGCTATGGTTCTCTGCATCTGCTTTCATCAGTTGCTGGATATAGGTTCTGTGGTGACATTTAAGATAGTCATCAATCTGACTACAGGGCAAGGGCCAGTTCAGACACCCTCTCCACTATTGTTTAGGGTCTTAGCTACGGTTGTCCTTGTCTAGTGCCAGGTTTCTTCCTAGTCCTGTAATAGCTCCCTCAATCAAGATATCTTTTTTTTTGTTCTCCATCTCTGTCCTTCCCCCATCTCGACCATCCTGTTCCCTCTAGTTTTCCTCCTCCCTCCCCTTTTCTCCTCCTCCCCTAATGCCTTCCCTCCACACCCCCACCCCAACCCCACACTCCCAATTTTCTTAGGAGATCTTGCTTATTTCCCCTTCCCAGGGGGATCTATGTATGTTTCTCTTAGGGTTCTTGTTACTTAGCTTCTCTGCGGTCGTGGACTGTAGGCTCCTTATCCTTTGCTTTACTGCTAGTATTCACCTATGAGTGGGGACATACCATGTTCCTATTTCTGGGTCTGAGTTACATCACTCAGAATAGTTTCTTCTAATTCCATCCATTTACATGCAAATTTTTTTACCACTGAGTAGTACTCCATTGTGTAAACATACCACCTTTTCTTTATCCATTCTTCGGGTGAGGGGCATCTAGGTTGTTTCCAAGTTTTGACTATTACAAATAATGCAATAATAGCTTGTGTTGGAGAAGATGTGGAGTAAGGGGAACCTCCTCCATTTCTGATGGAAATGCAAACTTGTACAACCACTCTGGAAATCAGTATGGCGGTTGCTCAGAAAATTGGGAATTAACCTACCACAAGACCCAGCAATACCACTCTTGGGCATATACGCAAAGGATGCTCAACTATACTTCAAGGACGTTTGTTCAATTATGTTTATAGCAGCATTATTTGTAATGGTTATTCAGCTTTTTATAAGACCAATCAGGTGCCTTAGGCAGACAAGGTGAAACAAATGTAACACATCTTTACATAGTTAAAGTAATATTCCATATCACCCTCAAGTAGTCTCTGCTCCACAAATTGAATATATGAATTATGGAGTGGGAATACTAGTAGTTGCTGTATCTTGAGGCCTGTGATCTACAGATAAAAGCATCCTGCCATTGAGGACATACAGGCAGCTCTGAATTACTTAGGGTCTTATCTTTTGGCAGTTCTTTCTCACTGTATTCTTCCTCTGGTGTTCTAAAGACACTGGCAGGTGTTTGGTGCACACACACTACCTGATAATAATGTCCCATCATGTAAGTGCCCTAAGTACCATTCCCTTTTACTTAAATTAGATAAAACCCAAAGCTGTGGATTACAAGTAATGGAAGTCCACTGGGGAAATTAAAAGTTCACAAAGAATGGACCCATTATACCCATTATAATAAAAGCTTTTGCACAGCCAGTGATTCCATCCACCCTGTGCCTTCCCTGTTCCTTGGGGTATGATGAAATATCAAATAAGAGGACCTTTGAAAGTAGTTTGAGGAATTTATTTTAATTGGAAATAGTGGTAACATTCTGTGCTTGGAGTAAACTCTGGATCATACACAGCAGTGTCATCAGCTTTGTATAATGAACCATGGAGCATCCAGGTCTTCCGTTGTTCAGGATCTCAGCTTCATTTGTTACAAGTTTTCTCTATTCCCACGTATGTAGTAACTGAATTAGTAGGCTCAAGTCTCTCTTCTGCCCTTGCTCCTGTTGGTCCACATATCCCAGTGACTATGCAGTGTGTGTGTGTGTGTTGTATATGTGTATGTTGGTACCTAAATCAAGCCACTGATATACCTTCAAATATTTCTTATTGAGACTTGAGATAAACCCAGAAATCAAACAGAGTAGCTGGTAGATAAACAAAGATTATTACCATTTAATAATTCTAAATATTCATTCCATATTTCTAAATTCTTCATCAACACATCCTGGGCTCTGCTTATGCATTAAGCACTTTACATGTGTGCTCTCATTTGACTCTCAGACTCTCCATCTCACAGATGAAGAGACTACATAGAGAAATTGCACTAGCCCAGATTACATAGCTGTGATTGCAGAGCTAGAATCACCTATAATGCAGAAGTAGAAGCTATATTGAATGGCAAAGCCAGATTATACTCCAGCCTCACTCCAAAGTTCAAGTTTTTAAGTACTATTACAGTGTTCCTGGCTTGAGGGTTAGATTCCTGAACCTAAAACTTAGGTAACAAACTAAGGTAATGTCACTCTTTAGAAGCCTTGTTATTAATTATGTGTCCTTGTAATTATAGCAGTACTTGAATAGTATCACATTTCTTAGACTGGTTTTACAGTTATTCAATCTGTCTTTACTTTCTCACTTTTATATTTTTAGATGCATCATCCCATTCAGATGAAACCTGCAGATAGTGAAAAGTCAAACGGTAGGTGGCAACCAACTGTCTAATATAATAATGTCTGCTACTTTCGATTAAGTCAGGTGGGGAGGAGGAGCCAGCTCTAGCTGTTGTTTCCCTCTGGAAGGTGGTCAGCTGCTACTCCAGGCATTATGGTTAGCACATCTGGTGAAACATGTCTCCACTCTTCTGTCTCATTTATCTGTGGAGGGAAAAATAACCAACAACAACTGTGAAGACTGTGACAAGGAGTGGTTTTCCATTAGCTCTGTTTAAGGCTTGCCCTATGTCATAACGTTGTGGAATTTGGCTAATATTGATCTACTCCTAGTACAACACAGGGATACCTGACAAGTGGGGAACATGAGTGGAAAATGAGTATCCAGTGAGAAACAGGCCACTCTTTTTAGCTCTCTCATTAATCCTTTTTAACTCTCTTACTACATTTTTCTCTAAATTTTACCAATACATTCACATCAGAATTCAGTCTGCTGATTAAATGAACATACAGTTTCTGCAAAAGTAATATGTATTTGATGAGGTCTATAATAAAATTGAGATTTGTCTCTTCAAGACACTTCAGAGTTGATAGTCCGCATTTTTTGCCAAGTTTTTACTTCCATCTCTACAAGCCTCCTGTCCCCATTTTGTTCTTTTAATTTACTGAAATGATATTAAAGAATCATCTACCCTCTTGGACCACAGAGCTCCTCTGTCCCACAAGACTGACATAACCAGCACTGTTTCCTACCAGCAGGCAGTTCTGCACCTCATTAATTAGTAATCAGGGCAGAAGCCGTGCATTTAGAGATCTATATATCTGCAAATGTAAATTATGATTGGGCTCTACATCTCTCCACAAGGATTTTTTGTTTTGGTTTTTGGTTGTTTGCTTTTTTTGCCAATTGTATTCCTTTTTTTTTTTTTTTTTTTTTTTTTTTTTTTTTTTTTTGGCTTCTTCATGAGCTGTAAAGTTTTGAAGAAAACTCCCAAGTTGTCACAAGGGCTGCCAACAGTGGTTTGTCAGAGTGAGCACACTGTCTGCCGCTTATCCCATCCCCCGAGCAAGTTCTGGTGCTTTGCTCCAATCTTCTCAGCCCTGTACTTCCCTCCACACTGATTCACCTTTGCTATACTATTTTATCATAAATATGGTATTTATCACAAGAAATTTCTAAAAATCTGCCACTGCTTTGTTGTGATGCCATAATTAAATTGCTTGCTTGCTTCCTTTCTCCCTCCCTCCCTTCCTTCTTTCCTTTCTTCATTAGTTACACATTTATCATTTACTATGTGTCAGGAAAGTTGTCTAAAGGATGGTATGCAGCAGTGAATATGAAAAAGTAAGGAGACTATGTCCCTGACATGGAACTTTATCCATTTCACTAACTTAATGCCTAATTATAGTCACTAACATGGAACTTTGCATCTTCTCATTCATAAAATAGGAATGGGGGTAACTACCTTAAATGGGTTAGATTTTTATTTCTTGTAGACTCTTAGTAAGATTTTTGCCACAGTCTTTGTAAATGACGGACATTCCTTGAAGGGTTAGTTATTACCTCCCAGAAGGATACCCTGGATGTGGAACATTCTTTGCTGAGCATACCTTCATCAAAAGCTAGCCATTTCTACCCCAGACTTCTCATATACTGTGCTACTCTTTCATGGCAGACAGAAGAAAAGAATCATTGGAACAAACTTTGTCAGTGTATATCTTCTTGGAGTTTCTAGCCACCATGAGATGTTCTCCTATCCTTTGGCTCCATACTTCTCTAAATTATATCAGAGCAAAAGTCCTGGAGTGAAAGGCTGTGAAAGCTTTATGTTGTATTTATAAACACACAATTCAGATAGTTAAATTGAGCACATAGGGCCTGAAATGCCCGAGTATTGAAATATGGTATATATTCTTCTTTATATTGTCTACTGTTCATCTGTACAACCAGATAGATTACAAACCCATTGCTGCCAAGAGTTCTCAGTGTTTTGCTGCTTTTATTCTCCAGTGTCAATTCTGAACACAATGTTTGGTCTAAGTCTAAAACTACTGCAAACTAAACTATGTGCCCCAAATTTTTCATGACCTTAAAAGTCAAGGAGGTTTTGGGTATCCTTATTACTACAATAAAAAATAAAAGTCCTTAAAATACCCCTTTTGAGGAAGCTGTATGGGATAGCAGGTAAGTAAGCCATAGCTGCAACTAAGTATTCAAATGAATGAGCCTATGGGGGACATTTCTTACACACATCATCACACTCCATTCACTGGCCCTCAAAAGTTCATGGCCTTTCATGATACAAAATGCATTTAGTACAACTTCAGAAGTCCCCATAGTATTTAAAGTCTCAACACTGTTTAGAAATTGAAAGTCTGTTTTGAGACTCAAGGCAGTCTCTTAACTATGACCCCTATAAAACCAAAAATTAAATTACATACCTCCAGCATAAACTTAGAAAACTCCAGAAGGGATAAATGGGACATAGTAAAGAAATATTAAATCAAAGCAAAAGTAAAACCCAGCAGGGAAACTACTGGCGCCTATGTCTCTGCATCCAGTATCTAGGGCTTTAGTTTGAAAGGGATTAGATGTCTCAGTCCTATAGCTTTGATGTAGGATATAACACACATCTCTTTTTTGAGCTGTTTCTATCCCTTGTATTCAGCTCTCTGTGGCAGATGTCTTCCAATTCTGACATCTCCAACATCTTGTAATCTTCACTGGAACCAGGCTTCACTTTCACAACTTCATGTAATGGTCTGGCAGGGTCTTCTCAAAGGGACTCCAGCATTGCCACATGTTGCTTGGCTTCAGTTTCTCTCGAAAATTATGGAGAAGAATACATGACCCCCTCACTCCAGAATCTTTCATGCTTTCAAAGACAGTGCCATCTGGATTAACTGCCAAGTTAACTGCCATCTTCAGATGAACATCTTGTACCATTTGACTGAATTAGCAGCAGCTTTTCTGTGTTGAAGAAATTGCTTTCTATGAGCGAGCAGCCCCTTAAGCTTTCTCCTTTCTTAAGTTGGAGTCTTAGCTGGATAGAGTCTTTTCCTGAGAGCACCCTTCCTATTATTCCAAAACAAAGCAGGAGGCCTTTCCTTCATAGCCCCACTCTGCTTAACAATCCCAGACTCTCCTTAAGCACGTGCCTTAGAAATAATACGCTTCCTAGTGTTCTATTTCTATTCTACCTATACATTTTAAATTTCATCCCTATTTACTCTTTTTCATTATAGACCTGCATAAGAGTTATTAGTAATAATCATGCCAAAGATTCAACATGATGCTGATTTGAAATTTATTATACTAAAGAAATTGAGCCACTACATTTTTATTTTATTTATTATGGAAACAAGATCTCTCTATGCAGCCCTGAAGGGCCTCAAACTCACTATGTGGACCAGGCTGGCCTTGAACTCACAGAGATACATCTGCTTCTGCCTTCTCAGTGCTGAACCCAGCAATCCATTTCTTTTTAATTTAGCCTCACATAAATTCTCAGAACATAGACAGAAAACAGTCATATTCTTTCCCAAAATATCATAGAAATGGTTTGTAGCTCTGTTGCTAATAAACTCCTTATTCCCCTATGAAAGAAACCTCGTGATCCAGACCTTCACCACTCTCAGCGTTTCTGGTTTCACACTCCCACTAGAATATGTCACTAAGTTCTGCTTACAACATTTAACTGCTTGTCTAGACCAAAGTTCCAAAGTCTTTCACATTCCTCAAAAAAACAGCATGGTCAAGTGTTTCTCAGAAACAACCCTCCTCTCTGATACCAGCTTTTCTGTTGCTCTGAAAATAATTTCATGACTAAAAGCAACTTATTTGGGCTTATAGTTTCAGAGGGAGAGTTCATAAGGTTAGGGAAGACATGATGGTAGGAGGTCAGAGCAGGGAGCTAAGAGAACACTTCTCAACCTCTCAAGCACATATAGGCTCTCTCATAGCTCACCTCCAATAACTTACTTCCTCCAGGAAGGCTCCATGTCCTACAACTTCCCAAAAAGCACCAGTGTTCAGATGCATATGTCTATGGGAACATTTATCAAACAAACCCCCACAGTCCATAAAAGACTTAACATAGTACCTGCCACACCAGAAATACTCATTTTGCTGTGTTATGTTAATACTAAATTAGCGTCACAGCCTGTCACACCTAGACTGCTCATGCTACAGTATAAGCTCAGACATGGACGGAGGATCCTCAAGCCTGCTTGTGGGATGAGTTCTCCTTTGGCCTTCATTTTTTTGATTTCTGATTAGAAAAGTCAAAACATGAGAACAAACTTACATTACATTTCAAAAACTTATTATGGGAGCTCAAATGGAACTTTGTCTTGCATAGATATGAAGAGCTTGCATAGTTCCCTTTGGAACTATGGATTAACTTAGGAATCAGAAGAAATGTATACTTTTCTAACTCAGATTATAAGTAGCACAGCCCTTTCTGATTCCTCATGGCATTTTTGACAGGTAAGCATAGTTTCAGAAGCATAAAGAACACAAAGATTTCTTTGGTTCAGATGCTCTGAATAGCTTGAAAGAAGTATAACGAGCTCTAATTGCTCTTTTATTGAGTTTGCTGACATTTATGTATAGCACAAAGGACTCATCACAGCTAGACAGTTGCTGTCTTCATTATCTGTGTGCTCAGATTCTGAAATTTTGTATTTTCTGAGCAAGGACTGCTAATCACGGATCAGTTAGTTATGGATAACTGAATTCCAGCAAAATAGTCAGCCTTGGAATCCCTAGCCATCTCTAGTCTGATACAGGGACTCTCTAGTGAGCTCAGAAATATTAGATGTTTGTACACCAGCCCTGCACTGTTGAGTCTTAACAGAGTGGGATTCCTAAACCTCTATGGTTTCCTTTAATCCACCTTTCAAATCACTATAATTTAATCTGAATCCTCTATAACATTCATTCCACTCGGCAGCATTTTATTTTCTGGGCTACTGTACCAGATGTGCAAAGGGACAAATAAAAAATACTACTCTAGATAAGTAATAATTGATTGGGCATTTAATAAGAACACTGTTAAAATACTCAGACATCAACAGATTTCAACTTTCTTGTTATTTTCCACTGCAGAAAATTGAGTGATAGTATAAAGAGTGTGTGTGAGAAGGTATGAATATAAGTACTTGTATTGACTAGCATTAGTAGTTACTTTCTTCCATTCTATGTATCATCGATTTTTCTGTAGCATCCAGCTGTCAGTCTTCAATCAACCTTCAGTCCTCTTACTATCAAGTAGATGCCAGCTGTGCAAGACTTAAAAGCAGTTACTAAAGCTAGTCTTCTAGTGAGTGATAACAAAAGCTTGTGCTTCCCTTGCCATGTTTGGGTTTCATTGGCTAGAGTCAGCATTGACCGTTGACATGCTTCTTGCTGACAAGGAAGATACTGTTTAGAAAGAACATAGACTGCATCCTGTCTTAACTTTCTAACCATACTTGTTGAAGGACCTTAACTCCTAGACTCCAGAAATGCTAATTAAGACCTGTCTCTTTCTCAAGACCTCTAAAACCTCTGTATTCTTTTATCAAGTTCAGAGCTAACCAGAGTCTTAATAACTGTTTTCATGGGAAGGTGAAAACCTTCAAAGCCACCATTAAAAGTAAAAATCACTAAGTATTTTTATCCAGTCACTTTCTGATTTTCTAGAAAATGGAAAAATAATTTTGAAATTCAAAGTGGAGCCACTCTCAGATTTGGAGGCAGTAATTAAATGCCATATGTTAGCACCAACACACTGAAAAGTTGATAATTAATTCAAGCAGCCCCAAATCCAGGTGTGACTTTGACAGATTGTATGCCAGGGTGTTAGCACAGACTTACAATTAGAGATGTTTTAAAATGACATCTCTAGACCTCTCACTCTAAGAAGTTACCTTATACTCAGAACATTAACCCTTTCTCATTACACATGGGAGGAAGATTTTTTTTCTTGGCCTCTGGTCAGGAAGTCATTTTTGGTCCTATTGCTGCTGTTGATGAAGTAGGGAACCCATCTGTGCAGCACTCCGTGTGTGAAAGTCCTGTCCCAGTGCAGTTCACTTTGTCCTGGAGGAAAATGGTTTTGCCCTAAAGAGAAGGGAGCTTACTTTTGTTTTTCAAATTCCTCTAAAACACCTCACTACCAGACTACTCTGGAGACAGTAGAATTGATTTGGGCAATCCACATTCTTACTGATTGACAGTTAGGTATGAGCCACACACAGAGAAAAGGAAATTAACATTTCTACTAGCATACAGATGTCCCCTCCCCTTTTTTTCTTAGCTCATAGTATTTTAAGGAGGAGTTGTCTTCTTTCTTGATATCTGATTGAGTTTATTCTTTGTGGTACCCAGGAAGTCAGAATTTCCTCTGAAATTATTTCCATTTTCATAGTGCTCACCTTGTTTGGATGGGGCCATAATTTAGCTTACTCAGGAGAATCTGCATGTAAAATTTACTGTAGTACCATCCTGGAACAAAAAATGTACAAATTATTTTAGCTAAACGTTATAATTTCCAATTTACCAGTGAAACTAAAAACCAAATGAAAGTTTTAACATTTGCTTTTGTTTTAAAGTACTAAAGCAAAATTCTTCAAGGTAAGAAGTATGGCAGGAATTTCTGTTCTCATATAGCTACCAGCCATAGTTTGGTAGGTATAGGAGTCCTGAGCAGGAAATAGTAAGAACCGGATAGTAGTCTTTCCCTTTCTTCTGCATCCATTTCCATGTCTCCATCGAGGGGGTGCCTCATCCTCATAGGGCCTGCTGTTCAAAACCCTTTGTGTTCATGGGCCAGCCCACAGAGAACCTATAATCAGACAGGTGGGAGACCATAAAGGCTCCTTGTCACAGGATCTTGGGATTGCTGAAGTTTGGTGCCCTGGACCACTTGGTTTGTGCTAATTCATAGTAGATAGCTGGTGTTTCACTTGTTCCAGCAGTACAATAAAGAACAGTACTTAAAAATTTTTATTCAAAATGGAAGTTATTCCATAGCCTACCCAATGACTTTTATTCTGTTACTGTCCTTATCCACTGAGCCCATTCTCTCAATCATATCATAAAGGGGTTTTGTTTGTTTGTTTGTTTGTTTTGCCTTCTACAGATACGCCAGTTGCTCCTGACTTTGTCCTTTATGTGTTAAGTATCTTGTTTTCCCACCCCCGTTACAGGTCTCTTCAGTTTTTCTTAAGTTTCCTCTCAGGAGGACATTAAAAGAGCCCTAGACTTTCCCTGAGTTGTCTTGGAAAGTACCGAGTGTAGAGGGAGAAAGGAGAAAAGGGAGCCTGCACACAGCTGTAACACCCTCCATCCCAGTGCTTCAGTTAACCAAAGCATGCAGCTGGGTTGCCTTCTCTGCAGTGCTAAAAGAGAGAGAGAGAGAGACAGAGAGAGAGAGACAGAGAGAGAACAAAATGGAAAAGAAAGAGAAGCTGACAAAAGTGAGGAGATGATTATCAGGGTCACATTTCAATTAATGGCAACACTAGAACAGAGACCAGAGTCTAAGTCGTGACCATTGCTTGTCCCTTTAGGTCCCATCTACTTCTTCTACCTGGAAACATCAGTAAGGGAATAAGAATACTGGACTGGGAGTAGGAAAGTACTGTAGTCCACATTAGGCCACATATTTCTTGAACGACCCTAGGAAAGTCCCTTTTCCCTTTATGGACTCAAAAATCTATTTTACAAATAGAATAAGTCCTTTACTTATTATGTGGAAATCTCTGACAAAAAACATTTAGCTGCTTCATTTAGGTTCTTCAAAGCTGCACTGACCAATATAATAGATACATAGGGCTTTGGAATCTTAAATTATTAGTTGGTGTTAAAAAAAATATTTCTCAGTCATATGAAACCCTTTTAAGTGTTGAGTAAACCCTGTCTTTTGCTGTGACAGCACAGACATAGGGCTTTGAGACATTATAAAGAACTGTGCAACTGTGTTGTTTCAGGGTAAGTCACTGTATTGTAGCAGTGCTCCAGAAAAACATGACCCAGTCCTGGCAGGATCAGATATGCACCTTCACTTGGGTTCCCGTGGCACCAGGACTCAGAAAATCCAGAATAACTACTTACTGTGTACATGGAAATGAGACTCTGCCCTATAAAGGACTAAGAAAAACAGAAGTAAATACCACCTACACAGCAGTGGCAAGATGGCAATCCAGATCCGTAACAAAGGTCATTCAGTAACTTGTGGCAGAGCATCGCCAGATCTTGGAGGTGTATGGTTCTCCCCCCATCCACACTTTTAATTCTGAGAAATAGATTAAATCAAAGCAATAGAAGATAAACAGGTCTAATCTCTAGGAGTACTTCAGACATCTTTGAAAAGGTCCTGCCTCCTAGAAAGGTAGCAAACATTGTCCTGAAATCAGCTGTCATTTTGCTTTATAGGCTAAATATAATTCAAATATTTTGAGCAAAAAAAATGGAGATTTGGAGGACCCTCCCAGATCTGAGGGGAAAAAAAACCTGCCTAATCTTTCCCTCTCTCAGAATCTAAAGTGTGCACATTATCATGATACCCAAAATGTATCTCCATTCCTTGAAAAACCTGGCTCCAAGTTACTGAACTAGTATAGCTTCCTCCTTGCTCTTCTGTTTCTAGTTTTGCACAGACAGGAACTGTCAGAGATGATTCTCAAGAAACAGAACGACTTTCTCCTCTAGGATCGACTTCTGTGTCAAGTGTAACCAGCCTGGCTAGTTAGAAGCTAAACAAATTGTTCTTGGGTCAGAGTGGAAGACAGACCGCATAGGGTGAGCTAGAGGAAGAGGGAGATACAGGTCTACGATTGGCTCCAGGACTGTATTCGTTCTCACATGCCCAAGCCTGGTTGTTAATGAAGCGTTGATTATAAGAAAAAAAGATGGCATGGCCTTTGTTCGTTTGTTATTTTTATCTCCTAGCTGTGGAAGATCGAAAATTGTTCATAGGAATGGTTTCAAAGAAATGTAATGAGAATGATATCAGAGTGATGTTCTCTCCATTTGGCCAAATAGAAGAATGCCGAATTCTCCGGGGACCCGACGGGCTGAGTCGAGGTGAGTGTGCTCTCTGTAAAGTCTCTTTCCTTAAGTGATCATTGGAACTCTGTCACAGTCAAGGGAGATGCAGGCATCGCATACAGCAGGACGTCAGCTTGCAGTGTGTCCCATGTGAGCAAGTTGTTCAGCCTGAACTTGTCTCTATAGCCAAAATGATCATCTCATACTTCTCCAGGGAAACGGTCTGAGTGCCAGGCCCATGGGATGCTGACAGGCTGCCCTAGCTCTGTACCCCCTTTTCATCCTCAAATTGAGCAAATTGGGGGGGGGGGCAAGAAGGAAAGCTGGAAGATGAGACGAGATACTCAGCCATACTTTTCTTTCTGTTTACCTGAACAAACAGTAAAGACGTGGTCCTCCTAAGAGCCATACAAACCTAGAAAGAGATTGCTGCTCATGCAGTGCAGAGCAGGTGTGTGACCAGCGTAACCAGACCTGTCCTGCTCTGCCTCTTTCCGAGCCTCTAGTCCTCAATCCAGCATTCTAAATGACAGAAAAATGACTCTGACCTTAAGAAGATTGATAGAAGCAAAAGCTGTAGCTCATAGCCCTGAGGAATACTACAGTTTGGTAAGCGGGGACCATGCTTCTCTTTCCCCTCCCCCTTGACAAGACCACACACCTCCTTCCTTAAACTATACGAAGATTGACAGTACATATTAACATTTGTCTGACGGCAGTTTCCCAAGTCAGTCCAAAGTAGAAGTGGATATGCCAAACGCTTTTCAGTTTGAAGAAGATATCTTCATTTAGCAATGCAGTTTCCATGGAGATAATCAAAAACTTTGCTCATTCTCAAGCTTTGATTCTGGGCCAGCTCTGGTACCCAAACCACACATTACAATAAGTAGCCAGGCCGTAAGTGTCAAGGTGATAATTTTCATACTTGATAATTTTCACCTGTCTCGCCATTCTTGGCTGATTTTAAAGCCATGCGAGGAAGGGTTTTTTTTTTTTTTATTAATCTTAGACATAAAGCTTCATGTTGTTGGCTTCTAGAACTAAAATCCCAGAGAACTAAAGTTTGACCCACATCCACTTTCAAGTTCCAAATGAGGTCATCAGTAAACTAGGAGACTGACACCCAAATTTGATTCCTATATTTTCCTCTGAAGGTGGTTTAAAGGGGTGGGGGAAGGAGAGCACTGTGCAAATCACAGTTCATTCATTCTCTGTCAATTCTGAAATACCAGTCATTTAACCCTCACTCCAATGCTGAATTTCTAACCCTTAAATAACAGACAGTACCTGAGACAAGCAATACAGACAGCGTGAAGAAGACAATGAGAAAGAGAGGGAGGAGGAGAGAAGAAGTAGGGAGGGAGGGAGAGAAGAAGGAGGGAAGGAAGGAAAGGATGTCTTTAAATTAATTAGAGCGCGGCTTACAGTAGCTCAGGGGTCAATGACTCTAATTTCCTGTCCTAGAGTTTTTGATGGCATGTGGCCTCAGTCAATTTATTTTCCTATTTCTATTTCTTAATTTCCCCATTCATAGATGACAGCAGTGAACATATATCTGTCTTGCTTCTCTCACAGGACAACTTTAGTTGCCAGTTACTGACTTTTCCCATACTTACTGTCTGTATGGGTGCATAGAGACCATGAGTGTGGACCTGAGAGCTGGCTTTCTGCCGTCCCTCTGCTCATCCTAGCCAGCTATGACGTGGTCCTCCATCTCACTGCCTCTGCTCTACAGGAGATGGTGATAAAGACACTCTGGGTAGCTATAGGTAGACATTAGTATTTGCTGCCTGTGAGATTTTGGAGCAGCACGACTTTCAGGGGAAAGAACAGAACACTCAATAAAAATTTAGCTAATTTGATCTGCTGTTTGGCTGATTAACAAACACTTAACCCTAAAAGTAGCCTCTTCCTTTAGTAAGTTATGGGTGCCTTCTCATTTGTATTTTATGCAAATGACTGGACTCAGTGTAAAGAAGAAAATACCCTCCCACCACCTTCTTTGAACAGCAAAATGGTTCCTGATGAATTCCCTATTGGAAAAAAAAGAAAATACCCATTTATAATCATTTATTCTGAAATTCAAATACAGTGATATATTTTTCAACTAATAGGAGCTAGGGACTCCTGGCTAGAGGGACCTGCTCCTGAATCACTGTATTTGATAAAAAGAACAATTCTACTCCATGCTACTATTTTGTTCTCATTAAAGAATTTCAGTTTTCAATCAAATATTAATAAATGCCCCATTAGTGGCACTTCAGATGAAAGATACTTGGCATTTTTCTCTCAGTATCTGTTGCTAGCTCAACTGCTGAAAAAGTAATCAACAAAAATAAAGTGAAAGGAAAGCATGGCTGCCCCGAAGAGTACCTGGATTCCAGGTCAGAATATGAACTGCTCTGCAGTGATGGTATGGCGAGGTACAGCTGAGTAGTTAGCCACTTGCCTTTCTTCTGCATTCACCAGTTCAGCTATAAATATGAAGACAATTAGTCAAATAGGCTTCCCCCTCCATTCCGCCTCTGCCACATCAGCCATTTCAGTTCCTCCCTAGTGGGCACTCTGCCAAGCCTCCTCAGACATGTTGACTCAGGACACTATTCATCAGCATAGTGCCTCAAGGCTGCCAGGACTCACAGCTGTACCTATCACACCCTGTTTCTATTTCAGTTAGAGTCATTGGGGAAAAACTCACCATAGCTAGTACATGTCCCAGGACGGACACCCTCAGGAAATGGTTGTAAGTATCTACATGGAAAGTACCCGGCACCTGCCCGTCATACATAACTCTTCATCCACACGAAGGACAATTATGCCCAGATCTAGGCAGGCCTTTCCTCCACTGGGGACGTTCTGTTGACTCTCTTGTTTTGGAAAGTGTGCTGCTCATCATTTTCAAGCAGCTTCATATCAATAATTACATCATTCTGCAAGGACAGCTGCACTTCTCAGGCACCTGCAGAGCTCTCCATGAGAAAGCTAGTAGGCCACCACAACCCATTCATGGCCTTTCCAGTGAGACATTTGCTCTTAGAAGCAAAGCTTGGGTTTTCTAAACCAAATGTACACCTTTGACAGTGTCACCTAAACTAAACATGTTCCACAGTCAAAAAGGCTATTGAGATCTAACCTATGGGGTTTTCTGCACAGTGGCAATTGAGTATCTATAACTTGGAGTCAGGGAAAAGTCTATTTCATTTTTCTTTCCCACAAACTGTAGTTAAATCTTCACTACCATTTAAGGTAACTTGCTTTCTGCATGTTTAAGAGTATTCCAGCTGTGTTCTAACATTCCCAGCCTAAGCCCTTGACGAATGTTTTCAGGGAAGAGCACAGCCTGGGTTTAGCAGTTAAATCCTCGTTTGTTCCTTGTTGTATTCAAGCAGTATATTAGGATAGAGCTTTTGACTGTTCAGACAGGTTTGTGGAGAAGACTGTTTTGTTCACAGTGTAGTCCTGTCCACACAGTACCTAAACATTCATCTACATGGAAATTTTCATCCCATATCCCCCAAAACACTGACTGCGTTTTGCCATCTTGTTCAAAATAGTCTTCCAGCCTCATCTAAGCAACGACATTTGCCAGTTCCTAAGGGGGTGGTAGTCTGTACCCAAATTCAGATGCCATAAATAAATGATTGGTGTGTCAATGCCATTTTTCAGTAAACTAACCCAACATTGCCTATGATACATTAGATTGCTAATGCATGTGCCCAAGTATTATCCTGTACTATGTGTTTGATCATTCCTGCCTGTACTAAAAAGATACAGCAAGAAAAAGTGGCTGCATTGTCTTTGTTAGGTGATAATTCGTATAGTAGTGAGTTTTCCAAGGTCTGAAGTCTCCTTCTTGCTGCACAGTAACTTAAAATCATGTTTCTTCTATTGAAGACACAGAAGGCCACTGTGCCTCCTTGAAAAAAAGCTTCACAAAAAACTAAGAGACCCTGGGATCATTTGTGTTTTTAAAGGTAGTTCTAGGTTTGGGGGTTTTTGTTTTTTAGTATAAAGCAAGAATTCATTTATTTCTATAAAATTCTCTTGGTAACTGAGAGAAGAGTTAGAACCACTGAGTTAAGATTGCCATTTCACTGGGTGATGGTAGTTCACTCCTTTAATCCTAGTTCTCAGGAGGCAAGGCAGCTGGATCTGAGTTCAGGGCCAGCCCACTCTACAGAGCAAGTACCAAGACAACCAGGGCTACACAGAAAAACATCTCAAAATGAAAAGAAAAGAAATGGGGGTGAAGCCTTTCACCTGAAATGGCATGTGATGGATGTGTGTCAAGAAGCCATCCTCCATGACAGCCTTCGCACTTGTGTAATAAGAGGAGTTCCATTCCTCATTCCTATTAGTAATCTCCGTCATTCGGAAAGTGGAGACAGTTTAATTGCAAGCTAAACTGCAGGTTAGCCACAAAAGGATTTTTCCCTTATATTTATTTGACAGTCTTAAGACATATATATATATAGTACTCTATCAAAACCAAAAATAAAAGAAATATGGTGTCGTTTTAATACGTGTGTCTTTCTTCCTCCAGTCTAATTTCTCCAGCATTGAGGATACCAGAGTAGTAATTGCCTAGATGGTACATTTAACAGTCCTCAGTAGTTAAGGGCTAACACTACAAAATCAGAGGTATAGTCCTGTCAAGACTCAGTGAGTGCCACTGCATACAGAAAGGACCAGTTAGGACATAAGATACTTGTGCCTAATAGAAAGCCTTCTGATTCAGTTGTAGAAAAAGCAGTGGCCAATTTTAAATAGTAGAACTCTTATAATCCTGTGTTGGTGAAAAGCCACACATCGGAGACCAAAAACTACAGCCACTACTGTGTTTGTACTTGTGTTGAAAAGAAAATTAAAATCGCTAGGAGGTAGTGGCACACGCCTTTAATCCTAGCATTCAGGAGGCAAAGCCAGGCAGATCTTTGTGAATTCAAGGTTAGCCTGGTCTACAATGCTAGTTCCAGGATAGGCTCCAAAGCCACACAGAGAAATCCAGTCTCGAAAAAAAGAAAAAAGAAAAGAAAAAAGAAAATTAGCATCTGTCCATACAACTGCCACAGCCTCTCCTGATTTAAAGAAATTACAAAGGTAAACAAGCTTTACTATCCCAAAAGGAGTTAATCCTAAATTGCTTAACTTCGTCCTGAGATGCACTGAGTGTAAAATTTTTCACTGTGTATTCCCACTTTATAAATGACACAGTAATTTTTCCTCCTAAGCAACTGAGCACAGCATACAGTACAGAACTTGGCAAAAGCCCTAAGGAGACAGCTTCTCTCTTCCTGCATCACTGCCAGTAAGATAAAGAGATTAAAGAAGTCAAATCATTTGTCAGATCATTTTTTTAAATGAGTTAGGATTGTACAATTAGAAGCATTGCTTGAGTTTTTAACTGAAGGCTTCTTAAAGGAGAGGGCAATGGTTTGAGTTGATAGAGTTTTTATTGTTCCTGCTAATTGCTTTATCTTTCTCCCAAAGTTACTTCCAAGTTACTTGTGTGAAATTGTGATAAATGCATAAACTGTACCTTATTGATTCTTATTGACATTTTGCATGTTTCTAATGCACTTTAACCCCCATTTGGAAACTGCCAGTCTGGTACACATTCCTAGCTAATAAAAGCAAATGAAGTGAAAATAACAATTTTTGTGACTATTAAAGCAGAATTCACATGCTTTCAAACATACCTCTGCTAGATGATTTCCTGTGGCCTCCATATTATAGTCTCAAGGCAAGAAGTGGAAAAATTAAAATCTCTTAGTCTTATTTCCTCTGTAATTTCAGTGAGGATCGTAACATTTTAAGGAAATATTGCTTTGAAACAAATGCTAAATTTGAGAATATAATTTTAGATCTCAGCTTCAGTATGGAAACCAGTGGAGGGGAGACAACAGTCTGTCTCACATGCTACTTTACACACACGATCTAGATTTCTTAGAGAAGGCCATTGCTTTCATTGGTGGCAAAAGCTTCAGTCATGTCTGGGTACATGCAGCATGAATAGTAGACTCCATCAGTTGATGCTCTCTCAGAAAATCACATGCAGCACCTCAGTACTCGTAACAGCTGGACTTCTTGCCTGCTTCTTAAGACCTGCTCAGCTGGTGGGACGAGTATGGGATGACCTTCCTGTGTACTGGGAACTTTTGTCTGTTAAAGATAACATGTTGCAAAACATACGCATTTACTTACTTTCATGACTGGATGTCATTGTGCATTGGGGATGATGGACAGACACTGCTCTCTCTTAATGCTGTTTGATTAGAAGGCACCACAGCAGTATTGACTTGATATTCTTACCAGGCACATAATGCAGGACAAAAGAAGAAAATGTATTTTATGACTCACAAATTGATTTACATAAACCAAACAATCTGCTGGCTGTTTGAATCTAGAATGTTCTATTTTGTTTATTGGTCACAGGGGCAACAATCTTCTACTGTTGATGCCAGAATTCTGCTTTCATGCATTGTGCTTTGAAATGACGATAGGTTTCAGCATCTCAGTATTTAGATCTGCTTCATTTGGAAATCTTTTAAGTAGTAATAATAATGTTTTGAGGAAATTGAGTGGAACACTAAATTATTCGCTGATACCTAAGTTCAAACTGTGCAAGGCAAAAGAAGCTGAAAATCAATGCACTTTTAAAGTCATTAGAGATCATAAATGAAATAAGTCTGTATTGCTTTCACTAAGCTTTTAGTGTGCTGTGGTATTATTATAAAATCAGCCGAAATCTGCATTAATTTTACAGCCTTTTTCTCTAAGAAGCCCAAGGGTATATGATGGATAAAAAGTAAATTCTACAAGGCGGTGTTTTTATTAGCACAAAGGGTGATGAGCCATGTAGTTCAAGTGGTGACCTGCGTGGTGGCCAGTGCTGCTGTCAGAACCAGGAACCAGCACCGTAGACACTAACAGTTTTATAGCACTAGATAAAATAAACACGGAAAGCTTTACAGGTCTCAGTAGATGTTCAGAGAAATGTACATTGTCTTGTATGTGTTAAGCTTCAGGTCAAATCTCTGATTCCTTTCAGAAAGTTACAGCTTCCAAAATCATGAAAATTTTTGTGCAAATTACAGTTTTTATAATTTATTTCATATGCACTGTTGAATTTTCTCAAAGTAATTGTTTTTGTTGCTAATTAGTAGTTACTACTTTGTAATGGATTTAGTATATTTGTTTACATTTGAATAGCATCAATTTCTATTTATATATGTTTCTAACTATCCGAGATGAATTAGATATATTTAATTGTTAACATTCTGAGATCTTGAAATTTATTTGCTTATTTACCCTTGGTGTGATGAATTCTTTATTTCCTTCTTAAAATTCAGTGATAGATTTTAAAATACAACAGCCTGGTGTGTGCATGCTCTCAGACAAGGAGAAGATAGAAAGTAGCTCACCTTTAACTTAGAAAATGCAAGTTATCTCTTGCTACTTTCAAATGTTGTGGGGAAAAGAGTACACAGCCATGCTCCCTAGTTCCCTTTAAAAGAATGCTGATGAACACATTGTTCTGCTTTGGTCGGATTAGCAATTCAGCACTGTGGATAAAAAGCAAATAAGACAAAGTCGAAGAGAGAAGCTGTTTATTTTTATGTACTACTGAGAACAGTGTCGTCTTGTGGCAGTTCTCGTAGACTGTGTTGGTTTAACAAGCGTCCAACCCTTTTGTCTTGTTGTTTTTTGTCTTTCCTGCTCCCTGTCCCCTTGTTTCCCACAGGCTGTGCGTTTGTCACATTTTCTACAAGGGCAATGGCACAGAATGCAATCAAAGCCATGCATCAGTCTCAGACCATGGAGGTACTGTATCATCTGCCCTTTCTTTGTTTTCTTTGTGCAAATGATGGGGAATGGTAAAGCAATTCTCTCCTGTGTGGATTGTTCACATGACAATCACAGATTTAAACTTTCACCATTGCGCTTTTCATTCACTCATATTCATCCCCCTCTCTCTGTTCCCCTCTTCGCCCCCTCTCCCTCTTCTCTCTTTCCACTTGCATTTCCCCTGATGACTTGAAATGCACCTTAGTGAAACCTCTCACCTGCCCTACAGCTGTCTTTTGAGCCTTTAATTGGAGTAACCCAGGTCCTGAGATACGAGGCACTTGAAGCCAAGTGTCGTTCTGGACCTAGAGGATTGAATACATATCCCACAGCAGGACTGGTATGGACTAAGCTGAACAACCCCCACCTCAGATTGCTGCTATAATAAAAAGAAGTTAATAATGCTCCTATTTAACAATGAAATGCTAATTTTCAGTCTCCAGAAAAATCAGATTTGTCCCTTTACTTAAAGGTAAACAAGAAAGACTTGGGCTCAAATCCAATCTCTTAAGAGGTTGTGACTCAAACAGGAGAATCAGCAATGTGAAATATGCCACAGGTGGAGATGCACGGCTCTCTGTACTCAGTCTATGATTTGGATCGTGGCCTTTCAGAATTTTGCACAAGAACATTCCAAAAGTGACCTGCCATCACTTACTCTGTATCGTCTGGTAGAACCATTTGAGAGTGCATGTGCTGCTGTGTTATGTACACTGTATCTGTGTATGGGTGACTTTCCCAGAGGTGGTGGCCTTGTGGTGTTATCTGAAGCTGTGTTTTCCTATTTGAACAAAAATACTTTTAATTTTATTTAATGTGCAAAAACTAGTAATTGTTTGAGCTTCTTTTTTTAAAATCCCCCTGTAACTGGGGTTTTATTTTTGGGACTTTTTGTTTGTTTGTTTGTTTGTTCGTTTGTTTTTGTTTTTGCAATGCTGCATCTTCCAAAGCATGCTGGGAGCTAAGTAATCATTATGCGTCATGTTTTATGGGAAACTTCTATATATTCATTAAGAAGGTGGGTGGAAAGGGTTGGAGGGATGTGCATGGCTTTGTCATTAAGTGTTTACTGTACTTTTTTGAGTTGTGACATCAGCATTGCAAAGCCTATTGTCTTTTTTGAACATTTATTTTGATTTTGATATTCCTAACATATATAATTAATGTGTTTTCCTTGCAGTGCAATGCATTTTTTAAGACAATCCCACCCCCACCTCACCTGAAGGCAAGCATGGGTGAAAATCAAACATGATAGAAAATAATAAGCAGGATTTCAATCTTGCATACCATGCAGTCACATTCCTGATATTTTGACTTCCCCTTTCTTGTAGACTGCTCTAGATTTGTGGATTTCAAGCTATTTTTCAGCTTAATTTTTCATTAAAATGAAAGTGCTGTTAAGAAAACAGTTTTCATATATATTTATTTACATACATGCATATAACTATTTTTATTTCCTATAATTGAGAGATTTATACCAAAATATATCTCCCCTTAGATAAGGTTTCTAAGTTCTTTTGACAATTAAAAGTGCTGCCATCCCCAAATGAGTTCATAGAGAATGCCTGTATGGCCCGAGTTCTTCATTCTACTGTAGAAGAGCTCAAAATACAAGGCAGAACCAGGATGAACCAAAACCAAAGTGCAAGATGCTTTCATGTGAAAAAACACTATATAAGGCTGGCCCAGGTTTATTTTTAAGATCTCTATTGTGATTCCATCAGAGTTGGTAGACTCCTTTTTAAAACTGTATACCCATGTTTAAACAAAGGACCCTCAGTTTGATTTACAAAATTGACTTCTAAGCAGAACAGTGCATGCCATGCCGTTCTACTTTAATCATACAACTAGGGTTATGTGTTTGATTTTTAACTAATTATATTATTTTCAGGACTTTGGTACACATCTTAAGTCAGACATTATTTAACTTAAAATGATGTGAATGTTCAAAGATTTGTCTTTAAACATGGATATAGCATCTATTCCCCCATTTTTCTCTACACTGTGCCCACTTGTTTTTCTTTCATGACTTAGACAGGTCACATTTAAAGCTACAGTTATTTAATTTTCTGCTTTTATGCCTTTTTCATACTTAATAACAAGAAATCACTAAATGCACTATTAGGAGAAGATGCTGCCATTCGTTATGGAACACAGTTGATGCAGCAGTAGAACTTCTCCATGCAAAGCTTCTCTGTGCGGTTTTCATCTTCAGAGTATTTTGCTCTCATTTAAGAAGTAGTAAAGTACTGAAATGTGTATTAGATAAAGAAAAAGGCATATTGGACTTTTTAATGATGGAAATGTTATAATAGAGGTAATTTATTGACCTATAACATTCTGTACCATGAGTCTGCTTCCCAGAGCTATAGGTTGATAGACTAGAAGTTCCACACTGAAAGTCACCTCAGTTTCTTAAATAGCAAACTTGATAGCCTTAATTCACAGCGAAATTCCCAGTAACTACCCAAAGTGATAAGGAAAAGCATGCAAGTTTGTCTTTTAGAAGAAAGTAAAATGACCCAATTGGAATCGGGGGGAAAGTTCATTTAAATAGGAATATATCCTTTGTGAGAGAAGTCTGTTATCACATAATAAGATTTCATTTAAAAAATCTCAGCAAACTGGAACAGAATGATGAAGGAATGTGCTTCATGCCCCGTGTCAAGACAAAAGGCTCGGGAAGGAGGGCATTGTTCTGCTGCGTCCTTACCAAGTAGCAGATGTTTCAAGAGTGTTTGAGATAGGATGATCCTACTTAAAGTAGTAGGCTAATATTTTCCCAAAGATTATATCTAACTCAAAAATTAGTTTATTTTATTATACGACCTTTGACCATGTCTTTCTCACTATTTTTACTCCTTACCTTTTAAAGGAAACTGAAACTGAATGAGACTGGTAGATTGGTGAAATTAATAGAGAAGGAACCATGTGAACTCCTTCTCCTGCCATTTGAGAGACATCACTTTGACTAGAAAAAATGTGCTTCTGGATCCTTTGGTTTGCTCTGGGGACTTTGAATAGAATGGAAGGAGGAAAAGAGACCTTTCTGAGAACATGTGAATGATTACTTTGACTAGTGCCTATATGTATTTTTATATCTCTGTCCTTCATCCATGTTCCTGAAATGAAACTCACTTCTTTCTTTTATTGTGTCAAAATTACCTTCATTGTTCCAGTGTTCATAAATACATAGCTGAAAATAAATGAATGGTAAAAAAATGAGTGAGATATTTTCATTCCAATTGCGATTTCTGTCCCTTTATCCTCTACCCATCTATAGAAATGGCAGGCACACCAACAAGCTATCTTTAATCAAGCAAACCCTGAAGTTTAATTAAAGATAAGGTCTTTGTCTTGAAGGAAGTCCCGGAAAGTTGAAGGAAGACACATGAAGAGAGAAGAGACAGTGTAATAAGTGTCTTCACCAATCAACAGATACCATTAAAGAAACCAGTGGCAGTATATGAAGTCTTCTGTTGATGGTACCATACAGAGAAGAAGGAATATCAAACCATTTTAAACCATTCCAGACCATTCCATGTGCCCCAAGATAGTTAAGAAAAATAGTTCCAATGATGACTGAATATTATAAAGGGATTCAATCAGGCTGTAACATCCTCTTCACTTTCCAATGTGTCTGACCACAGGGTTGCTCTTCACCTATCGTGGTGAAGTTTGCTGACACTCAGAAGGACAAAGAGCAAAGACGCCTCCAACAGCAGCTTGCACAGCAGATGCAACAGCTCAACACTGCCACTTGGGGGAACCTGACAGGGCTGGGCGGACTTACCCCACAGTACCTGGCGGTAAGTGCTGGAGTATGTGGGTCTGTGTGGTCTTCGTGGAGGAAAGGAACATAACTCCAAAACTGATAAAAGCTACTTGTCCATAAGTATGTCAAAAATTTACTTTCCTTACGTTTTAAGTCCCAGGGACTATGAAATCAACATTAGGGCAGGTTTTTGTTAATTAAATTGATTAGCATAAGAATGTGCCAAATTTAACTGTGGCCAGTTGGCAACTGAGTAAAACCCAATACAATAGACTTCTATGATGTTTTAAAGCACCATAAAAAAAAAAAAACCTCTGCTATATAAGTGGTGCTGCATGCGTGATAACTGATCATCTCAACTTTAGAGTCTAAAAATGCCAAGAGAATTGGCAGAGAATTCACCAGCTGCAGGTTAGTAGTAGGAAGATTTCAGCTTCAGTCCTTATCCCCTGTCTTTCTGGTGAAGCTGTTTTGATGACCCTAATGTTTCTTTTTAGGCCAGACACAGATCTTTGAGCCATCTCTAACATTTTTCATAGTTTCTGAGTGTTTCCTTTGTATTAATCTCACTTTGTCATTGTCTTTATTGAGATACAGTAGCCAGAATTTAGGACAGTTCCTCTCTTAAGAACTAAGCTAGACACAGTAGTAACCCCAAGCAAGAACATCAGAACCTCTTACTGCAGCTCTAAGTGGTAGGCAGCCTTTGTAGAGACTGTCAATGTGGGCTGGGAACCAGTGAGTGCTCTGCCTCTCTGCTTTGTTTGGAAACCTCAACTCTATGCTACATGATTATTAATGAAGTTTAATTTTGTGCTTTTAAGACTTTTTCTTGTAGCATGAGAGTTTGACAAGGACATGTTCACATCCTAATTCTACCTCTACCATTTCACATTTTAACTATTCCTCGAAGGTTTTACACTGTAGCAGAAGTGGCACTATTTTGTGAGACATCTTCCCTGTTGCTTTGGAAGGGGAGATGAGGAAAGGAGGCTCTAGGAGATATAGTGCCTTAACCGCGATCATACAGCTGCTAGTGTCTATGGCCCTTCAGTTATCTAAGTTCCCAGCTTTATCACCACCACTTCCATACCCTGACAGGCAGAGTTTGCCATGTAAAGGAACAGGTGGGGAAAGGGAAGACATGCTTTTCCTGTCTTTGTCTAAGCCAGTATAAGATATATTACTGTAATTTTCTGGCTATTTCTCCACTTCATCCTTAAAGATACCATGGATACTTTTGCCAAGCTTATTGCTTAAATCTACATATATGCTGCCATGGTTGTTTCCTAGTCTGTAGTCTGGCAATTTTATTTTCATAAAAGAATAACAAAGTAGAATATAACCTGTAACCTAGAACTTCTCTCTTTTCCCTCCCTTCTTCTTTTCCAGAAGCAATCAGTATTCTAACTCTTTTTAAACTTTCTTTTGATTTTTGAGATTATAATTAAAGCATTTCTCCCTCCCCTCTCTTCCCTCCAAACCCTCTAATATATCCCCCTTTCAAATTCATAACATCTTTTTTACTGTTATTGTATGTATATATGAATACACACATACATATATGTTCCTAAATATAACCTGTTTTGTCCATATAATGCTGCCTGCATTATGATTTGAGTGCTGTTTGGCACTGGACAACCAATTGGTGTGCTCTTCCCTGGGAAAAACCACACCCTCCTTCTCCATCTCCCAGCTTTCCTCAGTTACCTCTAGTTTTTTATGTAGGATTGAGGCCTCATGGATCTTTCTCAATCCGGTTTAGTATATCTATTGGTATCATCCTTGTTCAGCTCACAAGGGGCAGTGATGTTCATAAGACTTTATAGATGTAGCTATAAAACTTTATCTTTGTATTTGTGAAGTATTTTATCACTTTATTATACGCTCATTTAAAAGTTTTTTCAATGTAAAAAAAATTAAAGTTATGTTAATTATTTTTCCACAAATTTTTTGTTGAGGTAGTCACAGGCCATCAGCTTAATTGTAGCTACCAAACTTTTCATTCAAGGTTAACATCATGGTTGGCCTTTTTATACTTTCTAAATCCTGCTTCTTCTTCTACCATTTCTGAAAACCAAGACATGGGTCCCTGTCTCAGTATTATGACACATTTCCCTTGCTCTGCAGCTCACAGAAATCTCTGGTATGTGTTCCTGTGACCATATCTGAAAATTGTTTCATAACCTGACAGATAATAAAATAGCAGTAAGTAGGTTTTCTCATGTCCTACCAGTTCTTAGTCATGCTTCTCTACCCTTTTTTTTAAGATTTATTTATTTATTATGTATATAGTGTTCTGCCTGCATGTACACCTGCATGCCATACATACATACATGAGAGCACCATCTCATTATAGGTGGTTATGAGCCACCATGTGGTTGCTGGGAATTGAACTCAGAACCTCTGGAAAAGCAGCCAGTGCTCTCAACCTCTGAGACATCTTGCTCTTTTCCTTTGAAAGTCTTCTTGTCTAAAAAGACTTGGCCATTAAGGTACTCCCTACTTCTCTGTTAAACAGGAGTTCAAGCCTGTAATTTTTGGTGATTGTTTCTTGACTTTCTAAGTAGTCTGCTTACCTTGGCAGGTGTTACTAATTCCTTAAATACCTTCAAAGCTAATTTTACAACTTTAAAAAGAAAATATATACTATGAAGGGAGGGCTGCCACTTTTAAGCACAGTAGATAAGAAATTCAACAAATCAAACCAAAATAAGATTCTTATGTATTAAAATGGATAATCCCTAGGGTCTTTTCCTTCTCTCTTCCTGTTCACCTCTTCCTGTTGTGAGAGTTTGAGAACAGGCTGTGTGCACGGAGCTGCTGGCTTCGGCACATGTAAGTTGTATCTTGTTAATCTACCTTACCAAAAGAATATCTCCACAACTACTCAGTATCCTGAGATAGGACCTAAATTAGCCTACAGTCCAGCTAAGGTGGACAAGAATGCTTCAGAACTGGAACCATGTGCTTTACCTTCTGATGCCCACTGACTCTGCACAGCAAAAGCTGGATTTTTAAAGGTGGAAAATGAAGACCTTCACACATTAATTAATATCTTTTTAAGATTTTTGACATATCTAAAATACACAGATTTGGTGTATAGCAGATAATTCCAGATTTTGGCACGTACTTTGTCTTTTTTTTCTGCTGGTAAAGACCATCTTTAAGAATGAGTGACCACTTGCTTAGCAGTGTGACTGTGACTGTAAATAGCTATTCTTTGGTCTTAGTCAGTAAACTCATGTGCTTCTGAAGAAGGATAAAGAAAACTGACTCTGCACATGGATGGGGAAGGAGCATACAAGGCACTACCTCTAGCTGAGGAACTATGAACAGTTAATGACTGTTGGTGAAGGAGGGCCATTTTTCTGTCAGTGTATGGCCCAGTGTATGGCCTGTACTCTATGGATGGTTCCATACTCATTTACCATGTGCATATGGGTGACTAGGTGGACTCAGTCGGCTATAAAAACAAGAAGATATGAAGTCCAGAGGTAGGATGCAGAGAGGGGATTAATGGAAATTGGAGGAGGAAATTGTAATCAAAGTATATTGTACACATGTATGAAGGTCTCAAAAAATAAATATTCTTAAATGTTACTTAATAAAAAAGAAAGGAAAAACTGAACTGGGAAGGAAAGCAGAAAAGAGGAGGGAATGGACCTTGATTGACAGACATGAGTTATGGTAACTACTAGACTACAGAGAGTTATAATTAGTCATGCTTTGTTGGTGTCAAAAGATTTAGCACCTGGTTGTTAAAAAGAGTAAATTGATTAATTGTTTTAAGACAGCAGTGTTCGTGAGTTTCCCTAGTGTCTGTGTTTCTTAATAGAGATTAGACATTAATATGAATTTACACTTCCAACTCTGGGGACCTTCAGTCCATCAACAGGGAGTGGCAGCCAACTATGTAAAGGGAAAGGAAAACAAATCTGTACCCAAATATAATGAGGAAGTTGCTTTGTCTCCACATTGCTCTGACTGAGCGCTTGTGTTCTTTTGTAGCTTCTGCAGCAGGCCACCTCCTCCAGCAACCTGGGTGCATTCAGTGGCATTCAGCAAATGGCTGGTAAGTCATGAAGCACATGCTGTTTTCTGAATGTTTGCTTGTTTCAAAGGATGAAGGAAGAGTACTTACCAGATAAACTAGCTTTTTGTGTCTTGGGTATTAAAATTGGAATCAGCTGCTCTGAAGTGTTTCTCTTGCCGTTTTATTGCAAATTTTGTCAGAGTATATTCTTTAGTTGTTTGTGGGATTTTCGTAATAGGTTGATGGCTGGGAGGTTTCCAGTGATATTCCTTATATCTAAGGGCAGCTGAAATAATTAAATTCTCTAAGATTTTTAATAATAAGTGATCAATAGGAATGTTCTGACCTCCATAACAAAAGCCAGGATACCAGCCTACATTTGATACAGTTTGTAGTCCCTTGATAATAACAGACAATTAACACAGTGCCTTTTTTTACTTTAGTACCCAGTTAACAGAATTGTGCATCAGAAGCTTTTATGTAAAAGTATCATCTTTGTTCTCAGAAAAATCAAAGAGTGACTGTATTTGAAAAGCAGCTTATTGAAGGATTCCTTTTCATAATGAGCTATGCCAGTAGCTGCACCACAGTGATTAGTGAAAGGTCAGTCCTGCTGGGCCACCTTCCCTGCTGACACCCTGCCCTAGCTCAGGGCCAGGGAAGGTAGTATGCACAGGAAATCAGAATACAGGTGCCCATTAACCTTCCAGGAGGAACAGTAGAATGTCTTTCCTTGTTTGATTCCAAAATAGGGGGAGGCAAAGAAGAGATTGGGGGCATGTTAGAATGAAGCAGTTTTCTTTAATTAGGGAATATCCCTTACTAACTAAATGAAATCCACATATATAAAATAAAAGCCAGGTTTATTTGTCACTACAGAAACTCCTATTTTCCACTGAATATTTTTTCCAATTGAGTACCTTTACTTGGTTTTTATATTGTTGTTCTTGTTTTGGTTTTGTTATTGTTATTTTGCATTCTGACGAGTTTCTCTCCATATGTATTCTGTGACTAACAGCCTAGTGGTTTGTTGTGGTCCACAGGGTAAGGGACAACTCATCAGATTGTCTAAGTTACTCAGATCTACTGTTATTACTGTAATACAGCTTTTAGGTTATCCAAAAATGTATTTTTAAAATGATAACTAGTTAAATGATTGCATTATATGTAAGAAAATGTGTTAGGAAGCTGGCCTGGGACTAAGAGTCACACTAAATGACTAATGTATTTATAATCTGTGACGGAAACAGGAGAGATAGTAGTCAGATATTCAGGGAAGCTTCTATTCTTTGAAAGGAAAAAAATGCTCTCAGTGGCAAGCTGCTCAAAACATGCTAACATTTGTCATATTTTAGGTAGATAGGCAATTTGTTTTCCTTCTAGAACAGACACACCCATATTCAAAATTAGGGGTTTTCCACAAAGGAAGCCTCAGATTCCCCTACTCTCAGAACTGTGTTATGCAGATAAGGTCATTTATTCCTGGGGCTTGACACAACATGCCTTCCCAGGTGGGCAGGGTACCCTACCATTTTTCATTAGGAAGTGTGTACCATGTGTGCCTCTGCCGTGTCAGCTACAGGTCAGGATATTAGCATTTACACATTTACTGTGTGCTCCTTTGGAAACCTAGGGTATCGAGGAGTCACCCTAAAAGGTGTCATGGAGCAGATGGCTAAATTAAAGACATTCTGTAAATGCTCTAGGGTTTCCAAAAAATCCTTTTCTTGAACCTTGACCATGTTAAATCCGTCATCCTAAGTGTGCACAAACTGTAAAACCAAATACTGAACTGTCCATTATAGGCCAACATCTTGGATATTTAAAGTAATAAAATGTAGGTACCAACCTCTTTTTTTTTTTTTGGAGCTTTAAAAAAGTACTTCTCACTTATGAGAATAATCAAGTTTCATCTTTCTAAGTATTTAAAGCTTTATGATTTGTGGTATTTTATTTTTTAATAAAGTAATGGAATGTCTGGTCCCCAAAATAGTACTTAGCTTTGGTAGACTTGCTTTTTTGACTTGTCATTTTCCTGCTGAAGCATTGTGGGCTGATCATGGTGGATGGGTGACATCGATTGCTTGCTGTTTTAATTCCTGTTCTGTTGTTGTGAAGAGACACCATAACTAAAACAACCTTAAAGCATTTAATTGGGTCTTGCTTACACTTTCAGAGGATTAGTCCATGATCATCATGGCAGGAAGCATGGTGGCAGGCAGGCATGGCATGGCACTGGAAAAAATAGCTGACAACTTACATCTGGTCCATAAGCACTACTCACATGCAGCTGAGTCTGGCATGGGCTTTTGGAAACTCAAAGACCACCCTCAATGCCACACCTCCTCATCCTTTCTAAACAGTTCACGACCTGGAAACCAAACATCCAAATATATGAGCCTGTAGGAACCATTTTCATTCAAACCACTATACCTGTTAACTCCTCCAGCTTCCCTAGAGTTGTTTCTTCCTCACCAGAGTATCCCTGAATACCTCAAACTGATCAGTGCTCCAAGGCCTGCCCCAGTGGCTTATGGATGCAGCCAGTCCTCCTGTAAAGATACTAGAGACTATGTCTGAACAGATGAGTGAAAATAAATCTGTGAATTGACAGGCAAAAAAATTATGTTTCGGATGCATTCCCACTTGAGCTCAAGTTAAATGCCCATTTTTTAATTACAAAACTTAACCTTAGCCTTACCTATAAACTGAAAATCACCATTAAAACCATTGTTACTACCTTCACAATTGTACTACTGAGAGTTTGGAGATAGTTTATCTAATATAAAACATGTTACAGAGTACATTATACATGATAAATATAGTAAAAGCCATATAATAAGGTAGACGGTATTTAATTTAAGAAGACATTTAATCCCAGTCGCAACTGGTGTTCAGATGTTTATTGAATGATTGATGGTCTGACATAGTAAAGGTGAGGATATACACAACTCTTACTGCCAAAGAGTGTGAAGCATTTTGCAAACCAATACTATTTGGCTATGAACAACTATCAAAGCATAATAGTCTTTCAGAAGACAGAGATTTAAAAATGGTTCATTTATATGAACAAAACATTTTTCATTTGAGGAGAGAAAAAAGGCAAAAAGTAAACAGAAAAATAAATTTTAGATGCCACATTATTAAATAATCACATCAGTAAAGTCTGATTGTTGGCCCACAGACCCTGTAGCTATCTACCTTTCTCTGTCAGTCACAAAAATCAGGTCACATATCCCTGCAGCTGTTACAGATAAGAAACTATGATATCCTTGCAGCTCTGTAGCACGATTAATAAAATCCCAGAGACAGATATTGGGGTTCAACCTGAAGGTCAGAAAAGCAAAACAGCTGGCCACTGACTCTTACCTCTACCTCAGTCTGAAATGGTGATCCTAACTCCAGGAATCTCAGAATGTGACTTCCTGAGAGCTGTCTCCTCCCATCTTATATTCCTCTCTAGGAGTGGAACTAAAGACATGCACCACTACCGCCTGTTTTCTATGGCATACTAGTGTGGCTACTGGGATTAAAGGTATGTGTCAGCCAAGTGGTGGTGGTACACACCTCTAATCCCAGCACTCAGGAGGCAGAGGCAGGCAGATCTCTGTGAGTTCGAGGTCAGCCTGGTCTACAAGAGCTAGTTCCAGGACAGGCTCCAAAGCTACAGAGAAACCCTGTCTCAAAAAACAAAATGAAATAGAAAAATGAAACAAAAAATAAATTGGAAAGGTGTGTGTCACCACTGCCCAGTCTGTAAGGCTGGCCAGGGCAGCTGTTTTACTCTCCGATCTTTAGGCAAGCTTTATTTATTAAAATACAAATGAAATATCAGACACAGCATCTCCCTATGTATTTATTAAAATACAAATGAAATATCACTACACAGCTGCAAGATAAGTTTAAAGTACTACCTAATGTCTGCATCTTGGCATATATGGTAAGCTATACTTAATCACGTTCATACCATCTCCTGAAAACCTAGAGAACTCAGAAACTCTGTGTGTTGTTGAGAGCATGCGAAGGCTTTCCTGTAGTGACATGCTTCATGTGTCTGTCTCTCTTATCTCTTCATGGCTGTCTCTCCTAATGAAGCTACTCCAGGTTTTTTTTTAAAAGGAGACTGTCTCCCTTCAAGGCCCCATCATGTTGTCATTGGCATGATTGTCTCTCCCAAGTGGTCTCAGAATGCTCATTCCATATAAGCTCCTTCCCAAGTCAGCCGCATCTGCCTGTAGCTCCAGTTTATGCCATAATGAGCTATGCTTTATACTGTAGCTATATATCAACTATCTGTTTTCTTCAAAAAAAAATCTAAACCATTTTCCTTTGAAACTACACTTTTTGTGGTTTCTATAAAAAATAAGCTTTACTAAATGTGGAATTTTAAAGCAGAAATGGATTTAGGATCAAATCTTCATAAGCTGAACCCTTTTACGTGTACTTACTGTGCTTGAAGGTAATTAATTTTATTTTACCTTTTAAAATTTTTAACAAAAACATACTCGTATTTAGCTCTTTTCTAGTATTTGTTCAGTGAATTTTTGAAATTTGAGAAACATGGGATCTGCAACTAACCTAAGAGTATGTATCTTAGGTGAAGGAAAAAAGAATAAGGACCAAGTATGCTTTTGATTCTTAACTTCTTCATGGCTACTGTGGCACCTCAGAAGACTGCCTAATGGGAAAACAGAGGTGACACTTCGACATTTGCATTTAACCTAATTTTTTGTAACATTGTGCAGTTGTAAGAGTATACCAAAAGCAAAAGTCACCTCTTTACTACATTGCAAATTGGAAAAACAGAAGTGTGAAATGGCTAAATACGTTACCTTGACACCATAGCACTATTAACTGGAGTGGTGTGGACTAGGATACAGACCTCTCAGATACCACTAATGAATAAGGAACTGTTGGCATGCCATGGAACAAGTGGACAAGTGAAGCTAAGAAGATGTAGGCTAATACATTTAACCTAAGTCATTCAACTAGTGGCTATGCACCCATATTACAAAACCAGTTGAGCCTGATTCAAAACCTGAGCTTCCTGTGCCCATAAGGCTTATGACATAGCACTGTGTCCCAGCCAGGCCATGTGTGTTCACATAAACATAAGCTCCAATAAGGTGCCTACACAGGTGGCTTACTAGGCAGATACCAAATCCCGGTTGAAAGCAGAGCCCCACAGCTGCTAAAGAAATAGCCGCTAGGACAAATAGTAAATGGCCTCACTTCATTCTGGAAAGTCCAATTTATTAGGAGTAGGCTGTAACTCACAGAGATGTGCCTGCCTTTGCCTCCCAAGTGCTGGCATTAAACACGTGCAGCTTTAGTCCCTGAGAACAAACTCAATACATGACCAAGGATAACCATGAACTCATGACCCTCCTGCCTCTACCCTCTGAAGCGCCAGTCTGTACTGCCACAGGCAGTTTCTGCGGTGCTGGGTATGGAACCCAGGGCTCTGTGCATGGTAAGCAAGTACTGTCCCAAGTGATCTCTGTCCTCCCCTAGGACCATAAAAGTGTGAAGACTGGAAGCTAAAGGTGAAGAATTACCTCCTGAGGAATAGGGGAACAGCTTCATTTCAGATCTGACTGAGCTGACTGCAATTCCCTTCTGGAAGCCGGCTCTAAATTTTGAAAGTAATAATAAAGTGTAGTGAAACATTTGCTTAAAACAACAAAATTCTTTTCTCCTTTTGTGAATTTAAAATCCAGTCTCTGAGAAGATTGTCTGAAAGTGTCTTTCACAAGTAAAGAAGAGAGTTTCTAAAAGCAGCGTCTGGGCAGTCTCAGAAGCTGCAGTTGGAGCAGCTCCCAGAGTGAAGTGTGCTCATAGGCCCACAAAGACCCTGTGTTCTTCCCTGAGTCTCCAACAGTCCACACCACAGACACTTCCTGTGACTGTGCTAATAGGCCTTATGAGAGTGTTCTGTAACCACCCATCTGTCACTTTTTAACAGACCTGATTGGCAAGCACTTGTAACAACTGACATCTGTTCTCACTTATTGATATGCAGATTTATGGTAATTACCATGAACAATAAGACACAAAATAACCTAAGGTGAACATTAAATTAAATTTTCATGCCCTTCTCCTTATAAATAATTTTTTTAATCTTAAATTTCAAGTTGGAATATTGCGCATCTGTTTTCTACATAATTTCTTTATTTTTGAAGAATTTTCTTATTAATGAATGAAAACTTGAATCTCCTCACTCCCAAGTTTTTTTCTTTTTGCCATCATCATACTAGCTCACTTTTAGATTTCCTAAAACTTAAGTGTTTTGTATGTTTAGTCACCTAGATTATTGCCCTTGGTTTGAGAGGTGCCCAGCTGAGCAGAACTTAAATGTGGCCATTTTTCTTCTCAGAAAAGCTGTTTGCCAAGCCAGAGCCAGCTTCCAAGAAGGGTGACAGGCGCCTTTCCGTCTGGTGCTTTTTCTTGGTGAAAGAGGAAGTATGAGTGGGGTGGGAAGAGGGCCTGCTGTAGGAACTGGGAAAGAAGGGAAGACTGGGGCCACTCCCGGCCCCATGAAGAAGTGAAAGGAAACAAATGACTGGAAGAAAGGACCATGGAAGACTGCCTGTGGGCCCAGGGAGCAGACAGAGTTAGTAAAGGACAGGAGTGATATTGCAGTCCCTCAGAACAGCTTTGGGTAGGAAGCAGTTTAAGGCAAATGGTAATCCAGTGCTCTGGGAAAGTCTGGTGATGGAGGCAGCAGAGAAACTCTGGGAGCCTGCCCCACCCAGTTTCTTACAGAGAGCTATTACCTTTTCTCCAAACAGCCAACCCTAAGAAAGAAGAGCAATGGTAAGTGAGATTTTGAATGAGAACACCCTGGCCCATTTGTGGCAGAAAGAACCCAAACCTGTTTGTCAGTGGAGGGTTGAGAAGCACCATGCGCACTAAAAGTTTTCCAAGCTCCTACTCATGGTAGGATCATAACCAGTATATAACAGAGCACAAATGAGGGAATGGACTGATAGGTCCTCATCTTGACTACCTTGGCCAGTAGCTTGCGTTTGCATCGCAGTATGGTCTTTGGACCGTGTTAGCCATCCCCCAAAGTGGTATTATGGAGACTATTATTCTATCTGGCCTTTCTGTTTATCAACAAGAAAAGGTTGAAGAAGATGGCAGAGACTCTCTCATGTGGTGATATGTGTGAAGGGAAAATTAGGAAGGTCACTTTGGAAGGGATGCATATCCTCACTCTGAATTCATACAGGAACAGAACAGAAGAGAGCCTCATTGTTGCCAGCATGGCTCCAAGACCTGTAATAAATGTCAGTGTGTAAGGTAAAGGATGTCTGTCTAATAAGTATACATTTAATTAACAAATGATTGTGAAAAAACAGTGAATATTTGGTACTGGTGTATCAATAGGGGAATTAAAACAATGATTGGTTGTACAAACAATATTCTTTATAACACTTGATTAAAATTGTGTGCTATTATTCAGATCACTCATTTTATGTAAGTCTATTCATGACCTATCATGTATTCATTCTCTCTCTCTCTCTCTCTCTCTCTCTCTCTCTCTCTCTGTGTGTGTGTGTGTGTGTGTATGTGCATGTGTTTGTGTGTGTGTTGGTAGACTTGAACATGAGGTAGAATCTTTGTCCTCAAAAATCTTAGTATTTTGTTATAGAGGTAGGAATTGCATATAGTATCTAAATAGGATACAAAACAAGTAAAGAAGTTTATGGATAACACAAAGAAACAAGGACATGATGTTACTAACCCACTGAATGTATTCAGTCAGGACAATTGATATAGAGCCTTCTGACTCTGGTTCTAATACTGTGCTTCCCTCTTAGGGAGAGTCCTAAGTGTACTGGAAAAGGGCCCTCTGACCTGAATCTATAATAATTGTTACTAACTGGTGCCAAATGCATGGGTGAGGTTTTATTTTCATTGCTAAGTCCTCCTCTTATATGCCCGACTGTCTGTAGAATAGTCATATGGTTCACTTCTTTAGAACATTAGAAGGAACACTAGTAATAAAAGGGGACACTTGAGTATGAAGTGTGTTCAGGTAGCTTTCATGAAATACAGTCTTTAGTTGGTCTGAGTGGGTCTCCACTAAAGCCAGGCAAGTCCCGAACTTCTTCCACTTCGCCAAAGTGAACCTGAAAAATTAGTCAGTGCTTCTAATAAATATGCCACTGTTAGACCATCACCAGAGAGACAAAGAGAAAGCTTTACTCCCAGACACATTTGATGGCTAGATTTCACATGTTCCATATCCTGCATCTCTGCATTGCTGCCAAAGAAGTGGGTAGCTGTTTGGATTTACACAACCCAGCAAGTCCAATGGATCCTGAAGGAAGGCAGGAAGTGATTTGTGACATACTGAAAACTCACTTTACATCAAACCCCTCAGGAGCTTCTTTTCAAATCAGGAGCCCAAGCAAAAGAGCACAGAAGCAGTGCTATTTCTAGGGCTCAGCACCAGGCTCTTCGTGCACTCAGCCAGCTGTGCACGGCTGTCTGGAATCTGCTTAGGATGGGAAAACTATCTTTCTTCCTCATGGTGCATATGAACCATTATCAGGCTGCTCCTCTTAAACAAGTCAAATTTGTTGAAGAGATAGTTATTGGGTATCTGGATTTGAGTCGTGAGAAGGTAAAATTAAGCTGATTAAGTGACTCCTGTCTCTTTCTCTATAGGAAAAGACACATTGTTACTGTTACTTACTGAGACAAATCATGGGGGAAATGACCTCAGGTATTTAGAGGGCCTGTTGACTGAGTACAGAGGAGTGAGGGAAGAGTGTTGAAATCTAAACAGTGAAGGCAGCAGGCCAGAGCCCAGCCTCAGCCCATCTTACACTATTGCACACTTTCATTTGCATTCTGTCCTTTAACTTTAATAATCAGAAATTCATTCTAGTTGAAAATGTGTTGGCTGTAGATTTAATGTGTGTGTGTGTGTGTGTCTGTCTGTCTCTCTACTACCACATACATGTGTAGATCAGAGGACAGCTTGCCAGAGTTAGTTCTCTCCTTCCACGAAGTAGGTTCTGAGGATGGAGACCTCAGGTCATCAGGCTACACTTAAAATGATTTAAGGCCCTGCCAATTCTTGTCCATCCTACACTGAGTTCCTACTGTGGAGACAGGATCAGATAAATCCGGAGGCATTCATCACTAACATTCGTTGAGTACTTAGATGATGCTAGAGTAATTTGCATTCATCGTATGTATTTGCACAGCTCTCTGCATTCAGATACAGTTCACCTGGTCCCCGAGAAATGAAGAGGCTGAGTAATTGTCTACACCCATGTACCTGGAAAAATGACAAAGCCAACATTAGCACCTGCGTCAGCTCAGTTTCAGAGCAGGAGCATTTACACAATGATCTTTAATTCTTCTGTAGTATCTGTGTACCTGTCAAGTTAGGGAATGCAGAGTTTACTCCAGTGCTTGTCCTGCAGCTGCCTATGCCCAGCTCTCACCATTTTCATGACAGCTCACTCATAGGTAAAAGTTTCCAGTCCCCATCACCCTGTTCGTTCAATACAGAATACTCCGTTAACACCATATTTACCTCTACAGCATTGAGAGAAGACAGTCCTAAGTTAGGATAGACAGTGAGTGTACTCAGAGCTGGGTCTACTCAGAAGTACTGGATACAATGCAGGTACCCCTTCCTAGCACTCCATCTCTAGAAATGGAAGATGATATTAAAACTCAAAGGAGATGTCCTCTGAGAAACAGATCCCAGTTCCTCCTCAAGTGGTGAAATCACACCTATCCTTGAAACAACTCAGATGAGCACGGTATCACAGGACCAAGAGCAGGGGGTCTGTCGGGGGCAGGGTCAATTTCACTTTAGAAAACAGGAAAATTTGTGCTAAGATCTCTTTTCTCTTCCTCTGCAGGCATGAATGCTTTACAGTTACAGAATCTGGCAACACTGGCTGCTGCTGCAGCTGCCGCCCAAACCTCAGCCACCAGCACCAATGCAAACCCTCTCTCTACCACAAGCAGTGCTCTGGGAGCCCTCACAAGTCCCGGTAAGTGGAAGGCCTTACTCTTCCTGCACATGATGCAAGCATTCAGACACACAGAGGCAAGGGGTGAAGCTGGATGTTCCCAGGAGAACCTTCATGGGGACTCTGAAATTGGTCGTGTGTGTTTTTTCCAAGGAGAAAAGGAGAAAAGTTTTCAATGAGAGAATGCACATACTTCATTTTTACGAACGTTTCCTTTTGTTCACCTGATACTTGGGTATCATTACAGCGACCTTTATTCTCACAGCCTTGCTTTTGTGTCCTGTTCTCTTAAAGGGGAAAACTCTGATCTTTCTGGTGTTGAATTTCACACCAACTCCATCCTGTACTTTTGACTTTAAAATTCATGATATAATAAAGGACATTATGTCATTTATTTATGGTCACATTCTGGGCTATGTAATTGCCTTTTTCCCTAAAAATTTTGTTGCCTCATTCAAGGGCTAGTATCATTTTCTTTTTTGTATAAGAAAGGCCTAATATGGTTGCTCAGATACCATAATTTGTTTTCTTTATTTTTAAAAAAGAAAAACATGTTTCAACGGCTTCCTTCTCTGAATTTTCTAGGCCTTAACACATAATCTCCTCTCCTCTAATGTATGAGGGAGTTGGCTTGGACAATCTTGCTTATAACTTTGAAAATTCCATAGCCTTCTATCATCTGTGCCCAGGTGATTAGCTTAATAGCTATAGAACTTTATTGTAATTCTGCAAGGTTTTCTTATAGAAATACAAGAAATGAAAGCTACAGGATATTACTGACCATCATTCTCAAGAACCCCAACTTCAAGAAGCAATAAGGCTTGAACATGTAAACCTGAAGGAAGAAATAGCCCTTGGATCTTTGTAAAATATTGTATATCTTAAACATTATACCAGCTTAGTTTTGAGAGAAGACACCCAAGCAATATTTATGAGACTGTACTAGATTTAACCCTACTATGCTAAAATCTCCAAACAACAGCCCATAAGCATAGTGATTTAATTCTTTCAAGTATTTTAAAAATACACCGTTATTGTGTGGGGCTTCACTTTATGGAATGAATAGTATTCCCGAAAAATCAACTTTTGACAGTTTAATTTTTCAAGAAATTAACTTTCTTGAAATTAAATTTAACAGCTTTAATTTGATCCACAGATTTATCTGAGTAAATCCTCTGATGACTCTGTGTTAACTACTTTTCTTACTCAGACAAATACAGTTGGGGCATGGGTATTTTTGTTAGTAGTTCAAGGGTATAAGCCCTTCATGGTCAGGAAGCTGTAGCTGGAGGACCTTGGGCTGCTGGTCACATTGTATCTACAGTCTGAAGCAAAGGATGGATGCTGGTACTCAGCTCAGCTCACTTTCTCCTTTTTATTTAGTCCCCCTTCCAGATCATAGAATGATCATAGGTGCAACCCACATTGAGGGTAGGGCTTCTCTCTTCAGTTACACATCTCTGGAATATCCCCACAGATGCAGCTGAAGGTTTGTCTTCTAGGTAGTTCTAGACCTTGTCGAGCTGGCATTATCAGTCATCACAAATATCTTTAACATTATCAGTTTCTTTCATATGAAAACAGCATTGATTTTCTTAAAATATGCTAAATGTGAAAATGTTATATTTCAGTAAATAATATCTCTAAGTTATTTCACAATACTAGATACTGCCTTTGTGGTAGGAATATGGCAAGTGAAATACATAAAACCTAGGAGTTTTTAAGCCTTTCAGGAGACATCAAAAAATAAATGAATAAATAAATAAATAAATAAATAAATAATGTTAATTTAGGTGAGAGGTCTGTTGATACTGATAAGAATAGAGTAACGTGTACAGTGAAGGATCCAGAAGGAGAAAATCCTTTATCAAAAGGTGACATTTGCACAAAAGCCTGAGTGAAGTGAAGGAAGCCATGTAGTTTTCAGAAAAGGACATAGGCAGGAAGGAGCTTGCAGTGACTGTAAACTACAAAGGATGTCCTGATACTCTCAGGAATGAGTGGCAGGGGGAGGAAAGAAAACAGTAGGGCTTAACTGGGTGTGGTGGCACACGCCCCTAATCCCAGCACTTGGAGAGGCAGAGGCAGGTGGATCTCTGTGAGTTTCACCTCTGTGAGACCAGACCAGCCTGGTCTACACAGTGAGTTCCAAGATAGCCAGAGAAAAGAGTAAGACCCTGCCCTGTCTCAAAAACGAAAGAGAACAGGCCCATGTCAATGGATCCATAGCCATTTGTGTTAGTCAGCTCTCCCGTCGCTGTGACAGAATGCCTCATGGAATATGGCAAAGGGAAGAAAGATTTTTTTTATTTGCATATGGTTTCAGAGGTTCATTCCACAGTCATTTGGCACTGCTTTGGGGCCCATTGCAAGAAAGTTTAGTATTTGTGAGAGAGTGTTGCTGAGGAGGCTATTGGCCTAATGTCAACAGGAAGTAAAGACAAAATACAAGAAGTGGCCAGGGCAAGATACTACTTCTAACAATATGCCACCAGTGATGTACTTCCTCAAGGTAGTTCTCAACTCCAGTAGTTCCTGCTTTACAAAATTATGTCACTAGCTGGGAGAAAGCTCTCATCATGTTAGCCTATAGGAGACATTTCAGATCAAACTATAGTGCCGTTCCATCCAACATTTTAAAAATCGTGAATTTAGCCGGGCGGTGGTGGCGCACGCCTTTAATCCCAGCACTCGGGAGGCAGAGGCAGGCGGATCTCTGTGAGTTCGAGACCAGCCTGGTCTACAAGAGATAGTTCCAGGACAGGCTCCAAAACCACAGAGAAAACCTGTCTTGAAAAACAAAACAAAACAAAAATAAAAATCGTGAATTTTTATTTTTTTATATTTTATTGTATTATGTTTTTAATTTTTTGAGACAGGGTATAACAGTATATACCTCGCTGGGCTGGAAGTTACAGAGATTAGCCTGCCTCTGCCTCACAAATACTAGATTAAAATCTTGTGCTACCATGCATGGCTATGAATTTAATTTTAACCTTCTTAAAATGGAGGGTGCTCAGCCTAGAAATATGGCCTGTTTGTCAGAAGGGAATTTTAATTATATGAAAACATTCTTGTAGCCAAAGAGATAATGTATCTGAAGATGTATTTGCCTGCTTTCTGCTGTAGTCAAAATGTCCCATTAGCAAAGTGTCCTTCCCTGTCTTCCTCAAGCGGCATGCTGCCCTTCAGTAGATGATGCCACCTGAGGGTCACTGCAAGTGCTTTTTCCTGCTAAGGGATGCTCTGAATAATAGCTAAAGTATTTCATTAGATCCTTTATGTGTGGCATCAGAAACTATTTAAATCTTACATTTCGATTATTTTTTCTACATAACTAAAACATTTTTTGTTGTTGTTTAACTAAAAATCAATGCATTTGTCTATTAGTCTAATTTCTATCAGGGACTCCCTCAGTGGTGTAAAATGTGATTAGCAGCATTCCTGACTCTATTCTTTATCAGGATTATCACTTATGAAGTAGTGTTAGAATCCACTCATAGGGCTAGTGCTATTATACATTTTAACAGTTATAGTAGAGTGTTCTCACTGTCTGTACCATGAACGGTCACACTGTAAAATGCATGAGGCCTCATCTTCTCACTTTTGCACAAGGCTTGAATGTACCGTGTTTAAATATGTCTCATAATTTCCAGACAAATTCATCTACAAAGGAAAGGGACAATTTAATCCCCAAACTATTAATTTTTTCATAATTGTAAATTTATCTTTTTAATTTTGCGTGCCAAGAAAAAGTCTCCCTACAGCATTATTATAAATGATTTTAAATAGTCTTGGCTTTAAAACATGAAAGATTAAGCCTTAATTTTTGTTTTAAAAAAAAAAATCCCTTAAGCAATAAATAGGTTCCTTTGTCTCGTGGCCTTGAAATAAAAATTAAAATAGTTTAAATTGCCCATGGTTAAAATAAGTGTTTCATGTAATTATCAGATAGTAGTGAGTAAAATTAGAAATTAAATCATAAAAGAATAAAAAACCAGGTAAGTGCATATTACTCTTTTTATGAGCTCCTCATAGGTCTTTTGGAGCCTAATTTAATCGTGTTTCTTTTATTTTGATAGGCTAATTTTTCTTTTATTTACTTCAGTGTTCTATTTAGTTAATTAATTCTTGGGTCATTTCTTATTATCCAGTTTTCAACCTGTTTTTGAGAATGGTTTTGTTTTTATAAAAAAAGGCAATTCCTATGTCCAGCAGGTAGCTAGTTATTAAAGGCAGTAATATTTGTTCCCTATGCTGTTTATAGGTGAGTTTTTGTCTGGTAATGTTGAGAGCTTAGAAAACAGCATTATTTATTTTCACCATATGTGAACTTTTCTTTGGCATTTTCTGTCTAAAACCTAATTCTGCAATTATGCATTCATTTCACTGACCTCCTGTTTTCTTTTCTTTTCTTTTATTAAGAAAAAGATGTTTTAAAATTCCCTAGATGTTTCTGTAAGTGTAGACTCAGTCAAGTGCACACTTCAAGATAATGGATAATTTCTTTCAATAGCGTAAGACATTTTAAATGCCAGGAAGCATTATTATGTTCCCACTGCTGGCTCTTCAAAGAGTTTTCCCCTTAAATTTTTGGCAGTCTTTCCCCATCTTCAATATTGTTCAAGACTAAAACAATCTCAGAGTTGCAGGGAAATGTTGCTGCGCCCTGCTGCAGCACTTGCGGTTAGAAGAGGTGGAGGTGCTTCCGTGTGATTCAGACCCGATTCTGCCCTCCCCAGATAGTGATGGCTGATGAGTGGGTGCTATGCCTGTTACATATCTGTGTCACTCAGGCAGGTACATATAGAACAAGATACAAAAATTATCCCTGGAGGTTATCCTGCAGTATTTCAATCTGTAAGAGGCTTTATCAGCTTTACTGTGTGTGTACCTTCATCATCAGAGAGGCCCCAGCGTGAGCCTTTCAGTATGTGCAAGTCCAGTGTGTTAAGATGTGGCATGCAGGAGTATGCTATGGCCCAGAGAGAGAGAGGAAAGACACTGAGTGATGCTGACTC